TGCAAGGTGTATGATGTGGCTTAAATGTGAACTGAGGAATGAAGGTGCTGGAGGGCGTATGTATTTACTCATGGAAAGGCCCTCCTTGACCTGCATCCAGTACTGGACACCAAACACATTTCAAGAAAGACCGGGACAAATTTTAGAAAGCTTAGAGATGAGTAACAAGAATTATCAGGCACACAGAAAGCATTGCCCCAGGGCTGAGGAGAGAAGCGATCTTTCTAATGGATAATAGACTAGACACGGCAATAGTCTTATATCAACATGTAAAAGGGGATAAATCTTCCAACGAAGTAGTGAAGTATTTAAATTCCAGGATAGACATCAGATAAAATGACACCCACCCCAAAAAACTCCCAATAGTGAAGACACAGAAGCACTGGAATCAGCTTCCTTGGAAAAGCATGGAATCTCCATGTTGTAGGTCTTGAAGAAATGGCTAGATAAACATCCATTTGGGATAACTCAGGTGCAGCTTGGGTGTTCAGTACTGGAATGTATGGATTGATGAAATGACTTCTGCCTTATTTTCTGTGATTATTTCATTTCTGACACCTCCCAAATAACATCTGATAAAGCAATAGAAAGCTAAATAATAAATTCTTGATGAATTAAGCTTGTTTTAAAATAGTAATAAAAATTTTACAGCATCCCATTCCTGTGCATTATAGGAGGAGGGAAGCAAGTAAAGCCCACAGAGAGTCCTCTCCTAATTTTTAAGGTATGCCTCATCAAAGCATCTGTGGTACATGATTCAGAAGAACCAGTCTATCATGCAAAAACTGAACAGTTTAGACTTCATTCAATGGAGAAAAAGAAGCAAGTCTGAACCACTGTCCAAAGTTCAGTTACTCAAAAGTAGGCTTGTGAACTTGTACGGCTCATGAAAACCTTGGATGCTAGTAAACCTTAACCATACAACAGGCTGAATACTAAAATGACAGATTTAAGCCTCCCAAGACAGGTCAAAAAGCTATTAGCTGTTAAACAATGCTGACTAAAACATAGTTAAGCAAAACTCAATTAATTTACAAAATGAATTCTGGGTAGAAGACAGAGCAGAGAGGTTATTTACGGCCTCAGTAGAATATCAAGACATGATGTGAAACAACATTGCTGAAAGACTGCGCATTCTAATGTCTGTTAGAAAATATTTCAAAAGAATTTAAATCAAAATGAAACGCTTTTCTTTGCTCCAATAGATTTCATTATCTAGAAAGTATGCTGTACGACATGAAACGGACAACCTGAAAGGTCAACCAGAAAGACTGTCAGATTTGCTGTACCAACAACAATTTGCTGGGATATACTTAAAACACAAGAGCCTCACCAAGGCTAAGTATTGGATCAAGACATTTGCATTAATGGGCCTTTGACAGACTAATACTCAATTTTTTTTATACTACACAGAAACCACACAACATGAGTACCATTACAAGATATATAGCATATGGATACCATTAATGCTCGATTATAATTAATACTTGCTCATTTATTTCTCTAAGCACTACTGCAAGGAATGTAGCAGCAGTTTCACAGATGTCAGCTGGAAATAGTAGCCTTTCATTTAATTTGCTGAAAGATTGTTCCCTCCTATTAACTTCCTCGTAAAGATGTGTTAGTGTTGTAACTATAAAAACATAATTTTAACGTGAAGTTTAAACCAATGAAGGCAAATTTCTGGAACAAACTGCTTATCTGGCTCATGAGCCTCTTTTTATTTCCTTCTCAATAGCTCTCAAAACTACCCCACCATTGTACAAGTCTCATTTTGTTGCTGCCCTCTGCTATCTGGACTCCTACAGTGACACCCATGTGTCTATGGCACTTACCACTGTGATTTTATTACTGGTTGTTGGTGGGCAGCGGATTGTTTAATATAGATCAAACTGACTATTCTGACAAGCCTTTAAAAATGACATTGTTCTGCCATATTCTCTAAGCCAGGTCCACTCAGTTAGGTTATGGAGGGCCCACTACAGTGGGTAAGGTCTGCTCACCAAAAAGCAGTAAACATGAACCTGCTCATTTTTTAATGTGAGGTTACAGTGAGAACATGGGAGAACACCACCTATTTTGGGTGTTGGCTAGGTGCATCCACCTAAGCCAATGCAAAGAAGACAGTCCACATTAGCCCGTTGGACTCAGGAGTAAAAAGTCAGATTGCTTGTTCTCTGCAGCACAAAGTTATGCTTGTGAATTCCTACTCTTCTCTACCCTTACACAAAGCAGCCTGGAATGAGTTAAAGGTCACTCAGAGCAGAACATGATCATGGAAGTATTGCTTGTTGGGTCATTCACTCTTAAGGTTGACTAGCCAGGTGTTAGCTCTCTACTATAGTAATTCCAAATTACATGGCAATGTTAGGAAAAAAAAAAAAACCAACCCCAAAAGCAGAGATTCAGCCTGCACAGAGTCCAGTAAGAACCCTAATGCTGGCAGGCGCCAGTAGCAGGAGGCACACTCACTTGAAACGCTCACCCAGCCGTAACATTGATACGATCATGCCATACAGTTAGTCTGAATGCATACAAGATTTTTAGCAACAACACATTGCAAAACGGCACAGAGAAAATCCAGAACAATCTCAGCAGATAAGGGTTCTCTGGTAATCCTTATTTCTCCTTACAGAAGAATTCAGCATCTTCTTTTACAGTTTCCTTCTCAATATGAGTATTATGCTCTCAGTATGAGTATTATGCTGGCCATCATAGCAGAAACACAATGACATGACAGAGAATCAGCTTTCAAACAGTATATGCGACTGAGCACCAATCAGGAAATTAAAAAGAAAAAAGAAGAAAAAAAAAGAGACATTAAAAGCCAACCTATCTATCAAAACTGGACCGAAAGTTTGAAGTGTTGCCGTTAACGTTCCATACCTTTTAATACTATGAGGAAAAACGACAGATAGCTACAGAAAGCCTTGAGGCATTCATATATATGACTGAATTTGCTTTTGGAGGATCTCTTGGACTTTACTACCCACGTCAGTTTTGCAACCATCCATTTTGTTAGCACAGATGAATGAATTATACCACTGGATATCATTTAGGGTTGTATTTTGTCCAACATATATACAAACTAATCCCATAATGTGTGCTCTTTGTCAGTTGTAATATCTGGTAGTACGTGAAAGCACATAACGGAAGTATAGCTGACCTAACTGAAAGTTACAGCGTGATCAAACTGATTTACAGTACTGGAGTGTCTAATCCACCACAAAATGACTTCAAAGAATACACAAGAGACTTCAAAGTATCTCCTTCTCCAAATAGCTGCATTTCATGTACCTATTCTTATTTTGCCATGTGCAAACTGAGCTTTATTACAATGAATACTCATGAAAGTTGTGATACATTGGCTAGTGCAAAGAAAAAACTTAGCAGATTTGAAAATAAAGCAATACCAAAACTTAAGGTACTGACAAAATGGTTTGAAGCAGACAAAAAATAATGAAAATACGAGTTGTTCACAACCATGTGTCTAAACAGAAAGAAAAAAAAGCTAAATTCACTATATTCTTTCTTCATTTGATTTGTTCCAAAATTAATTGTTCAATACAACTAATGCATTAAACTGCCCTGCTGCCTATTTTTTATTTTGAGATACAAGCTAAATTATTTAATGAAAACTTTTTGACATGGAGAACAATACATAATATTTCAGGATCCTAGACCCACTGATATGACAGTGGCTGTGAAACAAATTAAAAGGTGGTATAAGATAGTGAACACCACCACGCATTGACATTACGGTCATTGACAACAACCAACAAACCACTGCCAATTTTCAAGTTCCACTCTTTGTGCTTGAAGTGTTTTATTTTATTTTATTTTATTGTGTTTCTAGGCGTTTTTCATAAAGCAAACCCAATATGAGATCTGCCTAAATCTTACTCTCTACCACTAAACCAACTGAATTTCCTAGTAGGTCTTCTATAATATTTCAAGGCTTTAATTTAATTAGAGCCTCAGCAACACCCTTCCCCCCTGCCCCTCCTCCCCCAATCCCTTACATATTTATTTTCATTATGGAATAATGAAGTCTTTTCATTTCTGCTTAAAATCTTGGCTGGCTCTCTGCTCAGCTTGAGCTGGATCAAACAAAAGACATAGAAGGCTTTTGCTTTACTTCAGGTATCTAAGACCAGGTTTGTGATCCCCACATGTCCTAGGAACAAGTAGGTAAAAGGGTACTGAGCAAACATCCACTTTTAGGCCCTTTAACCATAAACCACAGCACTGCAAGTGGGGAAAACCAGGAGAAAGACTTCAGAAGCTCACTGAGCTGAACTAACCTGCTAATGAAGACATCCACATTGATTCCTTCTAAGGAAGAAATCTAAGTTATTCACAAGCCCCTAAGCCATCCCTCATCTATCAGTAAGATCAGACTGATTTAAACTCTATAGATAATGGTTCCTTTTAAAGGAAGCAATAACCTAGGGAGCTAAAGCAAATGTCCAAGATGTGAAAGACCTCAGAGTTCAATTCTCCTCCAGCTCCAGAGAAGGTTCAAACCCATGCCTGCTAAATTCCCGGGGAACGTCTTAAGTACTAGGCAATAAGCTGTTCTGGGAAATGCTGTCCATCTTTTCTCCTGTTGAAACTGTGTCACAAAACAGATTCACTGGGCTGAAAACTCCCAGTTTTCAGTCTCCCAGAACACCTTCTCTAATGCATTCCTAATGAACACTTAAACAACAACAAATGCCCTTAAAGAAGGCAAGCAAGCCCCCAAGAAGTCTGATGTAAACAAAGCAGGTTTTTTTAACCATCTGTTCACTGACAATGTAAGGATATTGAATAGTTTTGGACAGTTTTCAGAGTCTGATTCACATAGATTCTTTGTGCTCTTTCCCATCCTGTTGTTAAAAATAACACGTAAGATAAGCCTTACTGACAAGTTTACAATACTTTGTTCACCGGTGTATTTTAGGAGATTGAATTTGATAGCAGCAAACCCAGTCAGACTGCTTAAGAGCATTTTCTATGACCAATTCCAGTGCTAGGATCCCAGTTCTCGTATTTGTTCAGTAGCATTTGATTTCCTAATAGATGAGAGGCATTGAGCATGGGGTGATCGACAATAACCTTCATGCCTCATAGAAAAGGCAAGAAGGGCACATGCACCCCCCCACTCAAGTCACCTTGTCATGCTAATGCAATACGCCTAGGTAATTTCTATTTTCCCTTTGTGTTTCTGAAAAGCATTTATGGATAGGTTACGAGAAATGCAAACCGATATGACCACTGCAGTAATTGCATTGGTTAGGTTTATTAATTTGTCACAATTAAGTCAACAAGGGTTTTAGTAACATCGTTATATTACTTGATTAGTTTTGAAAGTGATTATCTTAAGAACTCTATTTAATTGGAAGCATCTCAATTTACAGGGTACATTAAATTCTCACTAGCATTTTAAGATTATTCAACATATGCAGGTCAATTACAAGTAATCACTGTTTCATACAACTGCTTCATAAGAAACTTCAGTACAACACTGGAAAAGAATAAAAGAGGGTTATAAAAATACAACTGAACTTCAGTCCTAAAAGACACAACTGAACTTCAGTTCACATTATTATAGTACAAAGCCATATCTAACATCGAAATTGTTAAAACCATTTTGAAATGGAAGATTATAAAAATTTGAGTAAAGATTAAAAACCAGTTGTCTACCTTAAAACAGATGATGTTAATTTGTCAGAACTGCCAAATCGCTGAATTGCACTAACCGCACTCATGCCCAGCTGCACATTAATTACCAGATTAGAAAGTTATAATTAATTTTCTTGATATCACTACACTGCTTTTCTTCCTTGAGTTAATAAAAACAGATTGCAATCAATCTTTGTTAATTCACACTGCAGAACAGAACTGCTGTAGCTGTTTCCATATGTGAAAAGCACCGCATGCATAGTTCTTGGTGTAATACCCTGCCTAGAAGCTGTATCTTCTGACATTTTAATGAAGTGTTGTAATAAGGGAAATAAATTATAAATTATAATGTGACTTAATATAGTTAGTAGAAAAACTATATAAGCTTAAAAATGAATTTTTAAAGAATCTTCTTAATGACAAAATTCAGAGGTGCATAATATTTCAACATACTTTCAACCAGAAAAGAGGTTTTACTTGTAATTGTACTGTTGAAAGACTTCACTGATGAGACTTTTTAAATTTCTTCATCAGCTGACTTTGTCATTAGAAACCATTAAAAGTGCTCCATACCCGTCCAGCCTTCACAGAACATAAATTGCAAGAAATTTTAAGAATTAGTAAAGGAAAACAGCTTTACAGAGATACAGACTAAAGTTCATCAGAGTTCTGATCAAGAGCGTTCAGTTATAAATACTGCAAAAATAATTAATGCAGCATTCAAGCAGCATACACCTTCCTCTGTGCATATCTGTATTAGCATGAAAAGGTGTATTTATAAAATGGAAAGGATTATTCTCTTGTGAGGAAAGAACGACGGAGTAAAACGAATGCACCTTTTTTCATTTTCCATTTATGCCTGAAAGATGTTTTATTTCTCTAGCCTCATTACTGCTTAAAAGTTATTTCTTTTCTCCCCTTGTATCCCCTTCTTTGTAAAAGATAAGAACAAGTGTAGAAATATGAGAATTGTGACATCATGGCTTCCAAAGGGCGGCAATCTATTTTATTCTGATCTAATAGAAGTTTTCATGTCGTCAGCTTAGGTGTCAGAAAGGAAAGACTGAATACTTGATAGCAAATGAAGGCTGAAAATGTTTTGGGTTTGGTTTTATTTATAAAATGTTTCTGAAGTCTTTCAGGGGATGGTAAAACCCACATAATTCTGTATTTGAGAGAAACCAGAGATAGGAAAAGAGATTTTAAGAGAATATATAGCCTTCAGCAGCAAAGCCAAGTGCAACCTTTTTTTTTTATTTATCCTTTCTCCCAAACTTCCCTAAAGCAATTTGCCTTACACCTGGTTAGATCACCCAGACAACCTCAAACACAGGAGGGAGGGAGGAAGAGGCTGAAAAACAGTCAGGCCAGAAGTCTCAGAAGATGTATGTGGGACAACACCCAGTACAGCTCCCAAACATTAATTTTCACAAGCTATGAAACTGAAACATCTGAAAAAAAACCAAAAAAAAAAAGAAAAAAAATCAGAGAAGCAACCCATAGATCTGGAAAACATGATGCATCCAGGATTCAGATTCCTCGTATGGAGGCTGTGGGGGCAAGGACAGAATCAGAGTTCAGTAGAAAAAACATCCATCAGAGCTGAAAATCATCACTGGTGTGCTTCTCCTCCAGGATAAAAACGGATTAGAAGAGGGCAGCACACACAGAAGAGGAGTAGCAGGGTTAGAAAATGCATAAATTAGAACAGGATCAAAGACAGATTGCAATAATTCTTGATTTACAGAAAACATACCACTAAAAGGCACTGGATGATCTCAGAAGCTTGTAATAAAAACTTGCAACTTAGATTAAGGATTCAAATAAGGTCTGGATGCTGAAGAGACACTACAGGAAACAACACAGGTGCTTTCCAACCCAAACCTGTGCCATTACATTGACTAACACTGAGACAACTGAAAGTAACAGGTACAGCATTTCATGTATCTGCATTTAATGCCGAGATCACAAGACAAGGATGTGTTCTGTATTTAGCTGGATGTATGAAGCTGGTCATAAACCTGAGAAAAATCTAACTAACGATCAGCAATTAAGCAAGCAAGGAAGCCAATAATCCTCCCAACATTTTAAGATTCCTGAAAAGAAAGGGAACTCCGCAAATCTTTCCAAATGCTAAACCTTAGCTGAACAATTAACAAACAATAAGCTTCAGTTTCTGTTAAAAAAGGACCAGACTAAAGCTAAAAATCAGTCTGCATGAATGTTCTAATTACTCTGATATAACAGACTGATTTTTAGAGGAAAAGATTACCTATTTTATGCTGGTTTGTTATTTTACGGTCACTTTTAAAGATTAAATGGAAAACTGGACCGAAAGTATCTGATGTATCCATGAAAATGGATATGCCATGAATTTCAGAAGAACAAAAGATGCCATAGGCAGTTATGACTAGTCAGCTTAAAATTAAACATGCTTACAGAAATGGCATAAAAACCACCCAGCAGCACTGGTATAATGAAAGTGAAACCCCGAAAATTCAAGTTTTGCAGTATTAATAGGATTATGAAATACAATAAAGAGAAGTTTAAAATTCAGGTACATAGAATACTTATTAATGATATACATGACGCATCGCAACTGTATACAGTTTCAGCTGTCCAGCTCGGATGTTGTAGTTTGGAAGAGATTGAGGGGAGATCCTCTTGTATCAACAGCAATGACAAACCATATAATGATAAATAAAGATTTACATATATATACACACACACACACACGTGCATATATGTGTGTGTGCACATCTATAATGAAAGATATATTAAAAAGTTAACATACTTAGAGAAGTATTGAAGGGAAAAAATGTCTTTTTAGTGAGGAAAAAAAAGTAGGCTTCCGTGAACAAGAAAATAGAATCTGTTCTCAGTAATGATTTCTGAAAAAATGTAGTTAGCACCTCTTCTTCACACGTATTATTTCAGGAAGGTAAGAATACAGAGTAACTACAGACATTAGTCACTTATTAAAAATAGTGCTTATTTCAGTATCTAAAATAGTCCTTACCTTCGATGCTAGGTAAAAATCTTGTTCCTCCAGTCTTGGAATGCTGAACAGGTATCATACCCTTATGCATTATTATGACCGACAATTTAGTCAGACAGTCAAACTACAGTGCTCAGTGGATCTCAATCCTTATTATCCACCACACCAAAAAGATGCTTGAACTAGGGTAGGAAAAAAACCAACAACCACCCTTCTGTTTTGAAATTACTGGTTTAAGGAATGACATGCTCCATTTTAGAATTTATCGAGGTAGAAGTATTAAAGCAAATAAAACACAAAGAAAACACTTGGTAAATGCCCGCTCTCCCCTTCTCATGGCTGTTTAAAGAGTTCCCTAATGAAATATGCAGCAATAGATTTTGCAGGCAAATCCCACAAATGTACACACATTGTATCAAATACACAAAGTGAATAATTCATAATTGTCTTCACGATTTCTCATTTAGAAAATCCTTAGGAGAACAATCTTAACACAACTATTACTTTTAGATGAAGTGTTTCCCTGAGGTGACTTGAATTGTGGTAGAAGCGACCAAGAAGTGCTTGTACTCATTTTATTTATTTAAGGAAACCTGAAGTCTGTGTGAACCAATTCCCTTCCCTCTGAAGGAAGCCTCTTCCAAAAATCGTGTTTTGTCTATAAGATTACAGTTTACTGGTCACAGATTAAAATTAGGACATACATGATACAAGCACTTGAAAGGGAAACGATCTTTAACCAGTGCAAAGACTAATGTGCTCACATGCAGGTGTTGGGAGTTCCCAGCACAGTCAACACGGTCAAGGCAGGGCAGCTCAGAGGCATTTAGGTACTAGGCATTTACTTCAGGGTAAGGCAACTGCTCTGCAGTGCCTGGCTCCCCAGTGACCGTAATGGGAGCTAGCTCCTGCTGGGCTGGTAAAACATACAAACATGTCTCGTCTGGAACTGAGCCTCATCCTGCACATCTTCATGTACAACTCCAACTCTCCAATATGTTTGGCAACTCAACAGTAAGGGCTCCCTTGCACCTCCTAGGCGATGGGAAGCTATGTCATACAAATAACTCCTAATTATCTGCCAATATCGAGGTGATAGCAGCAGTTACCCAGCTAAAGCAAGAGCACAAGCAACATCAACATCTATATACTAATTTATAAAATCCCATTTTCAGTAAATGCAATTTCAAAATCTTACAGGCAGATTTCTTTGGGGAGGCAAGAGCAGTTTTAACTATCAGGAAGCAAACTGAGGATCTCATGCAACTTTCCCATGCTCATCACTATTCACCCCATGGGTTTTCACTATTCACCGCTGTGTTTCAGCCAGGGCCTGGTTAATTTAC